ATTGTTGGTGCACTAAGTGCCAGTCGACATGCCTTGCACGCGCGCCCATGGCCGCCCTGGGCAGAGTGCCGACGAGAACGCGGCCCTATGTCGGCCTGCGTCGCGAAATCAAGGAAGGGGCAGTTAAAGCTTATCCGCGGTCACGACCGCGGGCATTCCTGAGCCGGAGGGTCTCACCTCGTAGCGCCAGCGGCGAGGTCATGCGGAGACCGTCCGCAGGGTGGGAGGCCGTCTCAGCGACATCCTGAGAGCGGGCGGCTGGTCGTCCAGGGCATTCAAGGAATACCTGGACTGCCCAGAGCTCGAGCGCACTGTCACCAGGGAGGCGGCGTCGCTGGCATCCGCGCCCGCCGTCCCTTGATTCGGCCCTCAGCAGACCATGATTCCGCGCGCGCATCTACCGTCGCGCGCAGCTTGCATTGGGTGCCCGGCGTCGTCGGCAGCAGCGTTCGGGTCCGCAGTGGGCGCCAGGCCCGCACGCTGCCCCTTCGCCGCGCGCCGCAGTGGATTCTACCACGGAGGCGGCGCCGCGCCGCAGCGGGCTCTGCCACTCATCCGGCGCTCGCAAGGGGGCGCGTCACGCCCATCGACGGGACGTGACGCGCCTGGACGCTTGTCACCACCGAATTGCGGTAGGCGCACAAGTTCGCTTGGTCGCGGGCCAAAGTCGCATGGGCGGCAGCGGGCAGCAGCGCGCGGCCTGCAGGCGGACGCGCGCGGCGCGTCCTGCAGGCGCACGCGGATCGCCCAGCAGGCGCGCGCGCGCGCGCGGGGGAGGGGCAGGTCCGCGCGCGGACGCGCGCCTTCGCTGCACAGGCGGGGATCGCAGGTGCGCGCACGGCCCCGACGGGGCGCGCGCGCGCTCGCCGCGGCGTCGTGCGGGCGACCACGGCACATGCAGGACGGGCGGGCCCGATGCCTTCTGCGTTCTCCACACCCACCCTCACCTGGCGCGCTGCGTTGCGCGTGTTAAGTGCGACGGTGGCGTTGCGTCCAGGGGTGTCAGACCCGTGCGCTGCCCCCTCGCCGCGCGCCGCGGTGGATTCTACCACGGAGGCGGCGCCACGACGCAGTGAGCTCTGCCACTGACCCGGCGCTCGCAAGGGGGCGCGTTCACGCCCATCGAGGGGGCGTGACGCGCCTGGACGCTTGTCATTACCGAATTGCGACGCGTGGCACAATGGGGTCCGCTCGTGGGTTCCAAGTCCGCTAGGACACCCGTCGGCGGGTTTCGATACAAACAGCGCAATGGGAAGGAATGGGTGGGACGGGTCAGATGCCAAAATATGGCGCGATCGCGCCTAGCTTGCCCCCCAGACCCTTCATCCTCATCCTTCCCCGCATACCCCTCATTATCATAGCCCTCCTCCTCTCCTCACACTGCCCCTCCCAACCTGCCATCCTCCACCACCTCCGGCTTCGCGGGCTTATTTTCAGGACGGCGAGGTTGATCTAATAAGGATGAGGACGGGGACGAAGGGAGGAGGAGGAGGAGGAGGACGAGGACGGGAACGAGAAGAGCAAGCAGGGGTGGGATGCCATCGTCGTCCCAGGTCTTGTTGGCCCCAGCAGGCCCATGTTTGTTTTGCCTCTTTCCTTTCAATAAGCGTCCGACATTTTCAAGGAAGACCCCCATGCCTTCTCAGAAGACCGCCCCCCTCGCCCCACCACCTCCGATTTGTTTGTCTGGTATTTCGACGTGTTTCATGATTATACAAATTTCTTCCGAACGGCTTGGCCAATAGTTGGCCCAAGGTTGGGGCATGTGTTCTCATGACTCATGACCACGCCAAGAGTCCGTATGCTCCGATCCTGCTGGGCCCAATATGGGCCAGGCCAGGATCGATGTACCTGTATGGCTGGCGTCATTGTATGGACGTGCCCAAACCTCTGGCGGATAGAACGAGGGAACCACGAAGGCCCGATCTCTCGAGCTTGTGACCAATAGCGAAAAAGTTATTGCGAGCGCTGGGGCCGAGAGCCTTGACGCTTCGCGGACTGCGATCTTTCAGGGCGTTGCAGTTCCAGGCAACCCTGAGCGCATGACACGTGGAATCCCAGTCTCTGTAACAAAGCAGTGTCGGTGGGTTCACACCCCCGTAGCTGCTCTCGCAGCCGACCTCACAGTGCTTGCACGGGCCGCTCTCGGCAGCAAGCTGCGAGTGGCTATCCCTTGACACCCTGCCGGAGCGCACGAGAGCAATCGCCATCGCAGCACCTCTCGATCATCTGGCGTTCACAGCTTCTGGCTCGGGCGCGCCGCCGCAGCGTGCCTGGGCCTGAACCGCGCCGCCTGGCTTTGAAGGACCAGAGCCCGCGCGCCCCCTGCATGGGCAGCGCGGCCTCGCCGCGCCCGTCCGCAGGATGTCTTCCTACGGCGAGCTCATACAGGCGCTCGGCGTTCTCAGGAACGTCAAGGAGTTCGGGGACGGCATCTATACCTTGAGATCCAGGCGTTACAAGTTTTTCGCAGCGGTCGTTTTCGCCCAGTTTCGGGCCCCAGGGCCATCACAGATCGATTTGGCCCCGAAAATGCAGCATAAAGATACGGATTAAGGCTCCAGACGCGTTTCTGTTCAGCGATGTTGGATTCGTTTCGCAACGTCGTATCGGTGCCCCAGCACTGACCTTGACCTTGGTCTAGCTTTTTCTGAGCCCAGGATTGGTTCATACGCTCCCTCCCCGGCCAAGCCACGAGGGCGTATACACCGATCCTCGGCCCAGGGTGGGCCTGGCCAGGATCGGTGTTCGTGTACAGTTGGCCCCTTCCCAAGGAGAGAAGGCACGGGATCAAGACGCTAGCGAGTCTGTGTGCCAACCGCGCTTTCCAGGTCAGGATCGTGCAGCGGGGCGGTTGGCGCAGCGCCATTTTGCCGCTCATCATCTCGCTGGATGAGGAGTGCCGAAAGTATGCGTCATTGGCAATTGCCAATTTGAGCACTTGCCCCGCGGCGCACCAGCAGTTGAAGGACGAAGAGGTGCTACGGCATTTGGTACCGATGCTTCAGAGTGAGGAGGTGGAGGCGGTGGTGATCTACGTTCTCAACGCCCTCGGTAATTTTGCTTCTTCGGACATCATGTGGGAGCAGCTGCAACGCATGAATGCGATCGAGAATGTCCTGGCCGCGATGAAGAATATGCAGCGCGACGAAATCAAGACCAACGCGCTGTTCTGCATATCCAACCTCACCTCCGACCCTGTTCAGCGCGCTTGGATGATGGCTCCAGCAAACAAGACTTACGAAGTAGCTTGGAAGCTCTTGCAGCACCCAGATTTCATGATCTGCCAGTATTCTCTTGCAGTTCTGCGAGGACTAAGCGTGGAGAAAACCGCTCAGGACATATTCCCGAAGATGGGCATGTTGCCGTATTTGATCGGCATCCTCCAGACAAATTGTCCAATGTCCTTCAAGACGCTGACATTGAGCATCTTGTTGCATTTCTCCTTCCAGCAAGCCAACCACCCCGCGCTGATGGAGTCCAGCGCACTGGCCTGCGTGCATGCGGCCATCAAAGGGGATGGAAATTTCGAGTTCATCCCGCATGGTGTCTTCATCGTTGCCAACCTGTGCGAGAGCGTGGACTTGCACGATCGCATCGTAGAGTCCCCACTATTTCCAGCGCTGTGCGATCACATCCAGAACGACAACAAGGAAGTCCAGCGGCACGTCATCCGGGCTTTCATGCAGCTCAGTCTGTCTCCAAAGTACCATCACGTCCTCCTCTCGGTCGGTGTGGTCTCCAACGTGTGCCCCATTGCGATGACGGAGAGATTCTCCGTCGAGATGCGCACCAACGCTTTGCAGCTGATGGGCGCGGTGTGCGCCACCCACCCCACCACGCCCACCGATGGCGATATCATGGATCTCTTGTTCCTTATCTGCAACGCTGGCGAGCATATTGAGATTCGCAGGGCGAGCATGCTGGTCGTCGCGAACGCCTCCGCCGATAAGGCGAATGAGGCATCTCTGCTGCGCAAGCCCTTCGTTGAGGCGTTAGTCATCGCGCTGTCCAAGGCCACAGACACGATATTGATGGACTACTTGTGCCTCTTCTTCCACAATATTACCAAGATGGACAACAAGGCTGGCTCCATGATGGTCCACTGCCGCTACCATCATCACATGTTCACTTACGAGAAGCTTGAGGCTCTGTCCATGGCTTCGTCGATCTACGTGTGTGACACGTGCAGGCAGCTCGCCCAGGACTCAGTCGTTCGGAGCCAGCTGATGCAAGAGGCCATGCTCTTCAAGACCCTAGCGGACGCCTGGGCCGGGTCTATCGCCGACGACCGCTTGGCTCCGCATTTGGCATTGATGAGTTCGGCGTTCGTCTACCACTCCGACGCGCACACGGAGTTCGTCCTCCAAGGGGGCGTGCGCTTGATCATGGAGCTCTACAGCCACTCGAAAGTGGAGCATGTGCGGTTGTGTTGCCTGCTGAGTCTCCTCTACCTCGCCGAGAACAGGCAATCCCAGCGCTCCATCGCGCAGGAGCGAGGCATGCAGATGCTCCTCGCAGCCGCCGAGAACGAGACGCACGTTGATCTGGTTACCAACGCGCTCAAAGCGCTCATCCCTTTCGCATCCTCCGACGACTACCGGCCTCAGCTGGGTATGGAGGGGGGCGTTGACACATTTGCGTCATATTTGTTCTCGTCCTCGCTGGAGCTCCAGCAGCTCGGCGTGCACCTCCTGCAGAACCTGCTGGAGTTCAGGGCCAATCGCAGGATCTTCTTGGGCCTGTCGGACGCGAAGAAATGCGAGGAAGATTATTTAGAACCACTGTTGAAGTTCTTGCCCAGGTACGTGCAAGCGATGAACTCACGCAATAAAAAGAAGGCCATGTCCGACGCCAAGACTTTATCGTCAGCCGACAAGGAGCTCACCCCACACGACCCCTTCATGGTCCGCAGCTGCATCCACTCCCTCGCCCTCCTCACTCTAGAGCACAGCGAGGCGTCCTACAAGCGGCTCATCCAGCTGCAGGCGGCACACTTGATGTACGACCTGTTTTACAGCGAGCAGATCGACCGGTCATCTGGGGAGGCGATTCTGCTTTTCTTCGCGAACATCTTGCACAGCGAGGCCTCCCCCACACTCTACCCATCCACCCCTGTCTGCCTCCCTCCTCCTCCTCCTCCTCCTCCTCCTCCTCCTCCTCCTCCTCCTTCCCCCCAGGCTGACACACAGGCCACCGTCTTGCGGGGGCTGAACGTGGTACCGATGCTGTTGTCGGCCTGGGAGATGGACTTCTCGGCACATACCAACGTGCGCTGCTTGTCGGCAGTTCTGGCGATGGCCCGCCGGAAGGAGCTCAGGTCGCGGGTCCTCGTGCACCTCGACATGATCATGGCGAACATGAACGTCAACCTCAGCTCGCCGTCGCGGGACGAGAACTTTTACTCCACCGCGGCGGTCCACTGCGCGCTCCTGTGCGAGCTGACGCGCTCAACCCCAGACAGCCACCAGCAGCTGGCTGACGCCAGCATCATCGAGGCCCTTCTCATGTTCGTGACGCTCGCGGGGCGCGGCCCGCGCGACGAGGTGTGCGTCGAGCTGCTGCTTAGCGCGGTGTTCGGCATCTCGACAATGGTCGCCTCGCCGGCGGTCGGCGAGCAGTGCTTGCGGAGCATGTTGTCGCCGGTGACCCGCATGCAGCTTTTCCTGGGGTTGCTGCGGCTGCCTGCCGAGGCCATCAACAGCAACTTCTACTCGGGCACCGTGGGTGTCAGGACCCTGCAGCGCACCGCCGCTCCAGACATCACCGACGAGGAGCTCGAGGTCGGCGAGGTGGGAATTCGGGATTTCCTCAGCTACTGTGGTGTCAAGCCTGCTGATTTCATGTACCGGAACATCATCCGCACCCTCTGTATCGCGATTGCCAACCCAGAGCTTCGACATCGCATCCAGGACGCTACCTCGCTGCAGAACATCGTTCCGACCTGCGTGTTCGCGCTCAACGGCACCTCAGACATCTACTTGCAAGTGTTCGGCTACATTCTAGTGGCCATCTTCGGAGGCGAAAAGCAGCTCCGTTATGGATTTGTAAACTCTTCCGCTATCATCAATGAGTTGCTCACGTGCTGTCGCCGCTACTCTGATCCGCTGACCAGCGGCATGGGGACTAGCGTGGAGGAGCAGCTCAAGAAGCTTGGCGGCGGGGGAGGCCCCTGGTCGCCGCAGTCCGTGGCCCTGAACCGCTACCTGCTAGCAATGCTGGCGCTGACGCACCTGGCGGACCACATGAGGAACGTGTACCGGCTGGAAGATTCGCAGGATGGCGAGCAGGATGAGGAGGACAGGGAGGTTGACGGCGGCGCCGACGGGCCCGACGGCAAGTTGAGCTACTCTAATTTGCGGTTCGTTGCTAGGCTGGCTCCTGTATCTTTCCGAGAGTTGGATCCTGACATGTTGGTGAAGAACGGTCTGACAGAGATACAGGAGTTCACTGCGTTGTTGCGTGTTGTAGTGGTCCACAACGCGCTCCTGACCCGCATTGAGCTCGAGGAGCAGAAGAAAGGTGGCGAGGTGAAGCCAGAGTTGGTTGGAGCTGTGGCGCAGACAGTAGACAGTCTGCAAGATGTCAAAACAGACGCGGATCTGGTACCAGATATTTTGAAGCAAGAATTCAAGTCTCTCCGGTCAGTGCAGGAGAAGTGCCTAGGCCTCCTGAACGTCGTGGACTGGTACGTGGGGGAGAACCGGTCACAGGCGTTGGTGGTGGCTATCATGGAAAGCCTCGGCTCCCTCTCGTGGCTGTGCCCGATGAGCGTGGACATGCCCCAGTCTGCCTACAGGATCATGGCGCACTGCCCAGAGTGGCTGCAGCCAGGCCTCCTGACCGTGATGTGCAACATCATGTCGGACCCCTCGCGCATTGGCAAGGAGGACGAGCGCCCCATCGCCGACCGGAGCAGAATGAACTTGAGGCTGGGCGAGGTAGATTCGGACTACTTGTTCCCGCTACTCGCCACCAGTGAAGTAGGGATTCGGCAACGCACCCTCGGCTTGCTTGCAAACCTGAGCACGCATCCAGGCATGCTCCGCTTCGTGGTCGGTTCAGGGGTCATCCGGATCTATCAGGCGATGCCAGACCGATCAGATTTCCTGAACAAGTTCGGTATCATAATCGAGCAGATGCGAATTCTCGCCAACACCACCTGCCGAGATGACAGCCACGAGTCCTTCTGCACGATGGGCGTGATCCAATTCTTGCGCGACGCCATGCGGCACAGTTCCGATCTGCTCCACGCAGCAGCACCACTGGACACGAACAGGAAGGAGGCGGAGGAGCAGTTCGACTACTGCGAGATCCTCTTTGGAGAGTACGACGCGCCGCCCCTGGGACTGCGCATCCGCTGGGAGCAGCCACCAGTGCTGAACGAGATTCTCCCAGACACGCCTGCCGAACAGTACATCGACGCGCTGGCCGAGGGGGACGAGCTGATCGAGATCAACGGAATCGACGTGTCGTACATGGAGCAAGAAGACATCGCGCCCATGTTTCAGGACCGGCCGTTGAGGCTTGTCTTCCGCCGTCGAGTCGACGAGTCAGCACCAGTGGCCTTGGAAGCGCCTGCATTGACGGCGAAGGGCGATGCAACCCAGGATTTCGGTGGCTTGCAGGTCGTTCATGTGGAGAGCATTGGCGTCTATGGAGACCGCGACCAGTACCTTGAGTGTTTCAACCTGGCCGTGCTGGCGGTGCACAACATTGCCACTGTGAGCGGGAATCATGAGATGCTTTTCAACGAGCCGCAGATTCTGTCCATGTTGCTAGCGGCGATTCCCAGTCAGGTGATCTCCCCAGGGCTGAGGCGCCTGATCTTCTCGGCGTTGACCTGCCTCGCCCAGGGTAAGGACATGGCGGGACGAGTATTCCAGGCGATGTCCGACTATTTCATCTCTTGCGAGAAGACAGACCCGTCACTACAAAAATACATCATGTTGTGCGCCAACCTGTACTACACGGGGATGAGGCCCGAAGATATCAAGCCAGACCGCAGCATGCTCGTCTTCGTGGAGCAGATCTCCTTGGGCAGCCCCTCCAACGAGGCGAATCGCGCAGTGGCGGAGATCATGCACGGCATGGCGAAGGCGCCGAAGGATTTGCGGGTCGACTTCGTTTCCCGAGATTCTTTAGTGGTGGCTGTGACCTTCATGGAGTGCATGGATCAGTGGGAGGTGCAGTCGCGAGCATTCGAGTCTGTCTACTTCTTGACGATGGGCGCCTGCGATCCAGAGCTGTGGGTCTCCCTCGACTTGCTCCAGCGGATGGCCAGGGCGGCCTCGAGGTTACAGCAGAAGTCCGTCGATGACGATGACGAGATGCTGCGCAACCACGCAGAGGCGCTGTGGGAGATCACGCTGCGCACCTGCGACATCTGCCTCCAGTGGGAGTCGCTGGTGCACGAGGTGAACAGGTGTGCCGAGATCGACCGGTACCTGGTGACCTTTTTCTTCGACGCCCACCGCTCCCGGCCTCTCATGGTGAAGGTGGTGGCGCACTTCATGGAGACCCTCATCGACTGCTCGGAGGGCACGTGCTGGTGCCGCTGGAGGAACATGGGGATGGCAGACAAGATCATCGGATGGTTCGCGGTCCAGAGCGAAGCCATGAAGGGTGACGCGGGCGCGGCCCTCGCGAAGCAAAAGGTCATGTCGCCGCTGGCCGCCGAGTTCCCAGTACCAGCCGGCGAGAGTGTGGACAGCATGCTACATATGTTAGTGTCTGCCACAAGGGTAGACCCCACGACGACGGGCGTGCTGTTGACGGAGGGTGTGATGTCTGCCATGGCGCAGCGTATCATCGCCCACGCCGGCTTCTACAGGAAGCACCACGCCGAGCCAGAGACGATGGAGATGCAGAAGGCCAGTAAAATCCTTTCAAAGCCAGTCAAGAAAAGTTCCTGGACCCCTCTGGGGTTCATCCTGGTCAAGTTTCCGAGCCGAGTCCAGCCGTGGCGACGAGAACCTCCAGCAACACGAAAACACGTCCGAAACGAAGGCGTCGTCGTGGTCGTCGTCGTCGTCGTCGTGGTCGCCCTCTCGGCGCTCGTAGGCCAACGTGGCATTCCGGGCCATCGCGCAGCACCTCGGCGCTTGCATCAACGATGTCGAGGGCCTCACGGCGCTGAGCGGCATGGGCCTGGAGGCGCACCTGGTCTCGCTGCTCGAGCTGCCCCCAGAGGACTACCGCACGCCCTCGCTGCTGGTCTTGGCGGCCCTGTGCGGTCACAAGGCGTCGGCGCCTCGAGATTCAGTTTTTGCCTTTTGTGGACTTCGGAGGGCCCTCGTGGTCACGGTCGGACGCAGGTCAAAAAAACGCGTCGGGACGATTGTATTGCGCTGATGTCTGTTCACTATCGGACCCAGGTTGCACTAGCAGAAGCCAGGAGTCTTCTGCGATGAGGGGGGGGCAGCAGGGCGTGGAGGGAATGATGGAAGAGAGTGTAGTGGGGGTGGAAGGATAGAGTGGAGCGAGGGCAGGTGTGAAGCGGTGTGGTAAGGAAAATACCAAAACCACATTTCTGATACTCTGGCATTCCATTGAAGCGCTGCCATTGCTTTAGACTCTTAGCCTTTTGGACTCCAGAGTAGCTCTTGAGACAGTCGGCAGATTTGGTTTCGGAGCAGATACTGCGGGGTGGATGGTAGGAGCGCCCCCCACCATTCCTAGCAGCTAGAACCCCTTTGATTACTTCGTAAAGTGCGGGTCCAGGTTTTTGCTGTACATCCGGGGGGGGGTACGACAATCACTTGCTGGGGGCCACCAAGATCATTGATTGTGAGGCGATGGCGGTGGACACAAATCACGTGCTGCTGGCTACAACAAGAAAAGGAAACATGCCACGAAGCGGTGGCGGTGAACAACCCGTCCAGATCGCAGAGGTCGCACAAGAAGCGTTGCGCATTTCTGGGCCCTATTACAATGTTGCAGCGATTGGCTTGCGACCATCTGGTGCATCGATCGTCTTTTTCATTATACTGGATGGGGCACGGGCCAGAAAGTCGCAGGCCGCCGAGGGCTTCCTCCAGAAAAACGTTGCGGTCGCTTGTCAAGGCGACCAGATGATTTCTCAGGCCACCGGAAAGTATCGATTTCGTGGGGGGTCTTCTTCTAAAAGATAGCTTAACCCCATGCCATGCCGCCAGGCAGTGACAATTTCGCTAGAGATTTCCCGATAACAAAGTTGATGGGCCCATTCCATGTCGCCAATCACTGACGATTTCGCTTGAGGACCGTTCGAAGATCAAGGATCAAGGATAGATGGGAAATCGAGGATCCAGGATGATCGGGGATCAATCGAAGCGCGACGATCCAGTGGGCGGTTATTTCGTGAAGTGCCGATCCGGATTTCTTAATCCAGGGGGTGGTACCTTGCAGCTCTTCCTGCAACGAGTATGAAGCCAATCGCGGAGCAGATGTGAGGATGGAGATCCCCCCAGAGCCCAGACCTCCAATGTCACCAATTTTCCAAGACGTGGGCTTTGGAGTCTCGACCCCGTCCCTGGGACCTGCTCCAGTTTTTTGTCACGGGCCGCGTATTGATGTTCGATGGTCCAGGGGGGTGGGGGGCGGAAGCTGGCTTCCTGAGGGCCACACCCCTGAAAAAACAGTCGCCCTTTTTTGTTCCGCGGATCCTGGAAGGCAATCCTCCACGTTTGTTCCTTATTTCTCTCCAATCATCCTTCCATTTTCTGAGCATGGGAAAGGAGAGGAAGAGGAGGAGGAGGAGGAGGAGGAGGAGGAGGAGAAGGAGCACGAGAAGTTGATGACGACGAGGCAGATTTCTGCAGTGCAGTATTTGTAGGGGCGTGGAGGAGGAACGGGAGAAGCAGGAGGAAGACGAGGACGAGGACGAAGAGGATGACGGGGAGGAGGAGGAAGAGAAGTCACGACCATGAAGATGGAGGGAAAAAGGAGGAGGAGAAAGATTAAGAAGACAGCAAGAGGAGAAAAGAGGGAGGAGAGAACGGATGGGGAGGAGTTGGAGGATGAGGCAGAGGGGAGTGGAGGACGGCGTGATTAGCGTAAGTCCGCGCTATGCACCCCTCAAGGGGCCCTGTTACGCATTGCTGAAGAACTCCAGCTTCGTCAAAGTGTTGCGCACAATCGAGGCCCAGCTGGAGAGCCACGGCTCCGCGCTCGAGGCTGAGGAGCTGGAGTATTTCGCCTGCATCTTGGACAAGTCTTGTTGCCACCCAGAGCTGACCCAGATCATTGTGGGCAGCGTTTTCCGGCTTCTGTGCCTGCTCTGCGTGAAGGGTAGGACCATACAGTGCCAGTTGTTGGCTTCCCGTGCGTTGGCGCGGTGCGCGCTCGCGAAGCCTGACAGCCTGCACGTTCTGACCGACCCGTCGCAGGGGCTCCAGTACCTGCACCACGTGATGAGCGTCGCGTCGTGCTTGCGCAAGGAAGGCTTCGCAGACGAGGAGAGCCAGCACTCCATCGACCGCCGCGCGATGGTGGCCAGGGTCGCCCACTCGCTCGAGGAGAACCCGCAGGAAGGCCAGCTGGTGGACTACTTCTCGCGCGTGGCCCTCTGCGAGGCCGTCACCGCGTCGCCCCACGTCTGCCGCAGTGCGTTCGACGATCTGGACGGCGTAGCGCTGCTACAAGATTTCGGCGCCGCGCTGGAGATCGGAGGGTACCAACTATACACCCGTACCGACCCTGGCCAGGCCGATCCTGGGCCCAGCATGCGCCTGGCCAGAATCGGTGTAGGTGTACAGTTGACGCCCTCCCAGGAGAGGGCGGAGAAGAAGGCCTCGAGCACCGTTGCGCCGAAGGAGGTGGAGCTCGCCGCTGGCGGGGTGCTGAACAGCCTGATCACGATGCTCCACGTCCTCCTGTGCGTGGTCTTCCGGCAGGGCTCTGAGAAGGAGGCCGCGACGCTTGGCATGCAGATGGCCATGGCGCGCGTGATGGGTGCCATCGGGCGGTTAGCCCTTCCAGACGCTGGGGAAGACGACGAAGAAGAGGCCGATGCCGCGCCCGCCGCGCTTGCGGAGCTGCTGACGGGTGACATCCGTGTCATTTTCTACCTCTCGGCACTTCTGCGCGAGGTTTGCTCCCAGCCGTTCCGCTCAGGGTTCCTGGCGATGGTGCGCACGCCCCCGTTCTTCTTGGCGCTCGAGGCTTGCGTGACTCTTGCCGTGCAACGTCTGCAGCGCGAGGTGAAGCGGGAGCCTCACAAGGACATCCTCCGGCCGAAGGTCGTGCAGCAGGTATCTGTGGAGTCGCCCATGGCCGGACGCGTAGACAATTTCAGCCTCGCTTTCGTGTTCGAGCACGTTTTGGTGTGTCTGAGGCACAGCTTGGTACAAGCCATGTACGTGAAGGCCGACCCGGGCAGCAGCCGCGCGGACCCGTGGCATTGGCAGGCGCAGGAGAAGTTGAAGGTGCACCTGGAAGTGATGACTTGGCTGCCAGAGGTCATGCGGCAGTTCGTCGACACTCGCGCGATCAAGGTCGAGGCCGTCCGCTACCTGTGCGCTGTGGCCACCTTCTACGAGGCCCCGCAGGCCCAGCCCCAGGACGCGGACTATCAGGAGGACGAAGAGGGTGAGGACATCGTCCCAGCAAACCCAGAAGAGTCCGGAACATCGGCTTACAGGTTGGCAGAGGTATTCTCTTTGTCGCATCCTGACGTGCTCGGCCTTCTCACGGAGGTGCTCGAGACCGACGAGGACCCTTGCACGCTCACTCTGGCCATGCAGGGGGCCGCGAATTTGGCCAGCTACGAGCGAAGGCGGCGGCTCGGCCACAGCCCACCCACGGAAGAGCTCCCTGTCGACGGGCTCACGGGGCTCGTGGCGGCCACTGTTCGAACGCTGCGCTTGGTCAGCTCCTGGCAGCCGGAATACGTCAGCGACATGCTTCTGAGCGCCAACAGGTTGATAGGGCAGCTCCTTTGTTGCAACAACACTGCGATGTCGAGCAGGCTCGTCACCCTCGACATGTTCAAGGCCATGCAGGAGATGTTTGACGTTTTCCTGAAGGATGCGTTCAAGTTGAAGACGAACAAGGAGTTCCATCTGCAGGTGCAGAGCAACATACAGCTGCTGAGGAGTTTCGTCTGCGCAGGCTGCCTTGCAGAGGTCGCCCTGGAGCAGGAAGCAGCCGGCGCGCGGCAACGCAGCTCCGACGCCCAGCGGTCTGCGGCGTTGAGCTCTTTATCGACAGGCTTGGACGCACCAGAGTTGGTGAACTTGATCGTGCTGACCGCCGGGACCCTTGTGGCAACAGGAGGCCAGGCACGGCAGTGGAGGAAAGGCGCCCACGAGGAGCCAGACGCCGTAATCTCTTCTGTGTTCGATGACGTGACCGCCAGTCTCCAGACCCTGCTGCGGCGCACCGACATCAACGGCGGGATCGATTGGGACAGAGTGGAGCTTTTCAGATTCGAGCAGATGATGAAGGACATCCAGGCGCACCGCCGCCAGGTGTCAGGGATAGTCGACGATGAGGTGTTGCTCAACCTCTTGTATCTGATGACCAAACAGGGTTATGTGTATGGGAACCAGCATTTTCCAGATTATCTGATGGAAGTAGCCTATAGCCAGCGCGAGAGTCATACCACCATGCAGGACATCGCAGCCGTGTGCTTCGCGATGGTCACCGCGCTGGGCAAGTTGCGCAACGGCGGGCAGATCAATGTCGCAAATGTGGTCAAGAACCATGCGGAATTCGTCTTGTCGTTGGCCCAAGTCTCAGACCCACGTTTAAAGTTGTGGCACTACCGGCTTCTGACCCAGTGGACCAAGAAGCCGCACGTCCTTAAGGAGATCTCTGCTGATGCCGCTGCGCTTCGCTTCGTCATCGACGCCCTGCTGGATGAGAGTCTAGGCCGATACAGCGTAGTGATCCTGCACAACATCAGCGTCCTCCGGTGCGCGACGGTGATGAAGGGCAAGGGGCAGCTGGCAGTGGCGTGCGAAGCGTATCGGCGCATGGTGCCAGGCTCTCAGCAAGGGGACGAGGCCAACCGGCGGATGCTTCGCAAGCTTGTCCTGGCTACTGTGAGGAATGTGCTTTTCGGTGTGGAGGACCTTCAGACGGAGCTTGGGGATGAGGACCTCGCGGCAATAGTAGAGCTCGTGACGGCCATAGAGGCGCCAGACGTGGCCATTTTCATGGCGATGCTGATGCACGTGTGCGACGGCTGCTCTGCGGAAAGAGCCGCCAAGTCGTTGGCGGGCCATGGGGCACTGCTGGAGTTCCTCGTGCGCAATGTCTACGGTTTCGCTTCCGCTTGCCAGCCCGGCGCGGGAGACATCATCGACGTGGGCAGCGCCCAGGATCTCTACGGCTGCGTGATGCAGCTGCAAGAGCCCCCCGCTCCCAGCGAGGGCGAGGGTGGCCTGAAGGAACCAGGCTCTCCCAGCCAGCAGCGCGGCCTGCAGCCAGCAGCCAAGGGGCTGACGCCCCCACCGGGGCCGACGTCTCCCGTGAAGGGCCTGGGCAAGAAAATGACCCTGTACCAGCAGAGCAGGCGAAGGCGGGTAGCGACCTCCTCTGGCATGCAGGTCGTCCAGGAACGCGTCGTCGACCAGGGCAATGCCAAGGCTGGGAAAGGTGCCGAGAGGCAGCTGAAGGAGTTCTTGTATTTCGCAAGCGTAGAGGTGCTGAGTCACGCCACTTTTGTGGAGGGCAGCGGCGGGCCGCTGGCAGAGGGCGACGAGGATGGGCAGCCGGCGGCGGCGGGGCGCGATTGCCTAGAGGCATTATTCGGACGGAACCCGATCACCGCCTTTCTGAAGACGCTCCGGGAGCAGGTACAACTGCACGAGCGGAAGCGCGTAGTGTTTTCGGACCTTTTCATGCACGTGTCCGCCAAGTTCATATGGCATTGCTGGAGCAACCCGATGTTCAGGCGGCATATCGACACGCCGCTTAACCTGGAGGCCCTGGCTGCTCTGACCCCATTCTTCCTCGAGTGGCCCAATCAGGATGTCCAGGGATTGACGCTCGAGATCTGCTTGTACGCCGGGCTTCACCGGTACCCAATCGTCCGAGACTACTTGTGCGAGAAGCACACCAAGTTCCCAGAGCTCACCGCCGCGGCCCTGGGGCACGCCATGGTGGACCCGGAGGGCGACGTGGCCATGAGGCAGGCCATGCAGTACCTGAAGGTCTTCGCGCAGCTGCTCAGGAGCCGTTGCCTCAGCTCGAAAGTAAAAAATTGCATAAACATAAACTTTCGGAACTACGCGCGGACTTCTTGGATCTGCGCTGGGCTCCCCTGGCGGCGCCGCCCCTGGCGCAGTCCGCGCGGCAGGGAGGGGGTCCAGCGCCGATCCAAAGAAGCCGCGCGGACCTCTAAGAAACTATGTTTATGCCGCTTGTTGTTCCTCTACAGGAGCCGTTGCCTCAGCCAGAAGGGGCTGCGGCGCCTCGTCATTAGCCTGCAGGGGGCCATGCTGGCCTCCCGCCCGGAGGGCCTGTGTGCGAGTCTGGCCCAGAAGGATAGCCAGCTGTTCGGCGAGCTGCTGGAGCAGCTGAAGACTTACTGGGAGGCGGGGTACGTGAAGCAGGGCATGGCCGTCATGATCGCGCTGACCGTGGGGTCTCACTACAAGCCGCTGCAAGAGCTTGATTCTTTTGTGTTGCACATCCTGGATTTTGCACCCTCACTGTTAGAGAGCGAGTTCGTACTTTTCTTTCCAGTGCTGTGCCGCTTGGCGTCGCTTGGTGGTAAGAGGATCCAGTTGCCAATGCTGCAGCGCAAGGTGCACGTGCGGGTGGCCCGCCTTCTCGAGAAGGCGACGGGTGAATTGGAGGCAGAGCTGAAGAGCGGTGAGCCCGAGAAGACTCCTGGCATCGCCGAGGGGGCATGGAAGGAGCCCAAGCTCGGCGCACGACAGCGGATCCAGTGGATCCTCGCCTTCTTCGTCACCTTCGCGAGCGTCTGCGACCCCGAGGAGGGCGACAACGTCAACACGCACGCGCCGGACGTGCACTTTGACAGTTTCGTGTGCGTGGATCTGTTGCAGATTTTGATGAGGATCCTCCGCACGCAGCCTCACCCCTTCGAGGCGTCTGCAGCCTGCTTCCTGATTAGCTGCGTGTCCTACGCGAACACCCTGCCGGCCTACATGCCCGATCTGTTGAGGGTCTCCGTTAAGGCTTTTCCATCGTTGATCGACGAGCCGACCGGGAAGTCGCGCGTGAGGTCGCCAACCGCCGAGGCTGGTCCAGATTCCATGCTGCACTTGCGCTTACCGTCCAGCCAGCGCATGGAGCTCGGCCTGCGCCGCAGCTTCATTCACCTGTTGGCGAATGCAGGGTACTTACCCGCGTCGAGTCCTTCGCTTACCAGCAACGCCGCCGCGTTCAGATTCTTGGTGGGCCTCGGGATCGAGCACGGCCTCTACCAGGACCCCGCAGCGCCTCTGCACACGAAACTGTATTGCTTGGCCCACATGGTCACCAGGACCGACGACTACAATGTGCTCTTCGACGACTCCGCGATGGGCGGCAGCGGCCTGTTCGAGGTCCTGACGAGCGCTTCCAAGCAGGTGTTGGAGGAAGATGCCGACGAGACGTGCGACCTCCGCGTGATCTGGGCCAACTCTGTGGTGACAATAGCGAGCAGTGCGGGCACCACGCTCCTGACTAAGCCAGAATTCAGGGCCCTGCTGCTCACAGCCATCGGCTTCGCCGAGACCATTCTACACGAGACGTGTGGGCCACAAGGGCTCGAGGGTGGCTCCAAAGGCCTCGGGTTGGGTTTCGAGTTTTCGCGGAGCCTCCTCGCAGCTTTGCGGCCATTGGCCCAGAAGGTGGAATTCAAAGAGCTCCGGCAGCCCTACATCCTGTATCTACTTAGCATGGCCAGCAGCGCGTTGTTGCCCAGCCTTCGCAACCAAGCGCTGGATAACCTGCACAATATGATCACCAAATCTACCGCCCAGGATCTGATCGGCGCGCTGGTCATGGTCACGTCCAGTGTGGAGACGTTCAAGAGGATCATGTGCGGAGGCAACGAGGAAATGGCATCAAGCTGCATTCGGTGCGTGTGCTCGCTGGGAGAGCTGGCGGGCTACGAAGTCAACACACATCTCCTTTCCGTGCTCGAGACCGTCATCGATGTGATCGGCAATCCGTCCATGTCTGCCACACGCATTTTGGGCCTTGGGGAAGCGTTCGTCTCCCTCACCAAGGTGCGGGCATTCGAGGTCATCGATGCGATGCTGGACGTCAAGGACCTCACCGCCTTCCTAGGGCTCGCACGCTCGTCCCAAGCTGTCCGCCGCGAGCTCGTCGGCCGATGGCTGGAGACGTACGGCTCCTCACTGTACGAGGTGGACGAAGTGCTGGAGGTCTTCCGGTCGTCCACAGCGCGCGGCTTCCTCCACATCGCGGCGCGGTGCACCCTGAAGCCAGAGGAGGCCCAGGATTTCCGCCGCTTGGTGTTTGCAGCCATCGAGAAGCGCGTGCGGGAGTGGCGCGGCAGCATCTCTGGCCTGAGGGACTTCCTGTCGGAGCCACTCCTGAGCTCCATGCTTCCCATGTGCGAGCTACAGCCCGACCTGACTGCAGCAATGGCTGCGCTCATGCACTCTTTCATCACATGCGACGAGAGCTTCATGCTGGACCGCATCTGGAGCGGCGGACATCTCGCGTGGTTGTGCCGCTGCATGTCGCTCAAGTCCGCCCCGCAGGTGGTCACCATGCGGAGTGCTGGTCAGACAACGGGCTCGGTGTCCTCCAAAAACTCCAAGACATGGGAGAGACACGTAGACCTCACCGTGTCACAGAGCATGATCCTAAGGGTCATCTGGGAGTTGTACAAGCTATACCCCACTGAGCTGTGCGCGAAGGCGCTCAAGAGCGACTGCCTGATCAAGAATTGGCAAGATTACATCGCCTACTACTGCCACCATGCCTGGCCGCTGCGAGAGTCGACGGAGATCGAAGAGGCGACCACTACCGCCATCATCCTGGCGATGCTGCTCGCGGCAAGGGTGTCTCACGACTCTGGGGAGAGTGCGAGATCGCAGCTCATCCAGCAGGGCATGCTCGGACTGTGCTTCACGGTAATGTTGCCGCCTCCGCCGGTCCAGAAGGCTCTGCTCGCCAGTATAGGTGCGGCAGAGGAGACCCCTGGCGCAGAGGACGGCGAGCTCAATGAGGTCTCCAAAATGCCCGAGGCCAAATTGATCGCAGGCGACATTGCCACTCTCCTGTTCAGGCTTCCCGACTCCTTCAAGCTGCTGAAAGCCAGGCACTTTGCCGCGGTGCCGTTGGCGATGTTCTCACAGTTACACAGCTGGCGCCACGTCGTTTTCGAGAAGCAGGGCAGCTTTAGCGCGGTGGAAACCGTCAGCTTGCTTGAGCGGTGTGCCAGCTTATACATGTCCTTGGTGTCGTCTTTGTCTGTGGAGTGGTGCTTGGAGCACTTGGGGCTTCACCGCATGAGTGTGATGGGGCCACTTTTCCTAGACTTGTGGAGCCGCCACGGCAACCCGCTGCTCAAGCAGCACTCGCTTCGGCTGTTCACCAGCTTCTGCCAAGTGAGGGTCCTGTACGTACACTTCCTGACGCAGGAGTCCCGGGCAGACGCGTTGCAGCAGGCAGTACACCGCATCTTCGGCGCTTGGGACGTGCGTGAGCTCAGGCACGTGGTGTGGCTTCTTGCGGCGTCGCTGGCGCACGCGCTCGGCATCCCGGTGCTCCCTGACCACATCGAAAAAGCGGTGAAGAGGGCGTTGCAGGACAGGGATTGCGTAGAGCTTAGCACAGTGTCGGACAATCTGGGCGCCGAGTTGGCCGACCAGATCGCCTCGAAAAACATGTTGCTCTCGACGTTTCTGACGCAGATGATCAGCTGGTGCGAGCAGCCCCCTGGTGACACTTATAGCAGGTCTTGGTGCCTCTGGATGGTGGCCGCTATTCTGAAGCACGGGGATGTGACTGGCGCCGCGGCCATAAGGCGAGCCGGCGAGGATGACCAAGATGACAAGAAGAACCCAGAACCTACAGAGGAAGACAAGGAGCCGGACGTGATCCTTGTGCTCCCGGGAATGCCCGAGGAAGAGCACCTGCGCCGCCGCGCTAAGTTCGCGGCCGAACTGGCGGAGGTCGGCGTGAAGCCCGCTCAGGAGCAAGCAAGCCCCGACGGGAAGCCAGCGGCAGGCAAGGCTAAGGCCGCCGAGGCCCCTGAGGCCGCACATTGCAAAACGGCCTGGCTACGGGAAACGCCTGCGCTCTCCGCGACATTGGCCAGTATGACTGCTAAGTGCATCCAGAGCGACCGCAAGGAGTTCCGCATGTTGGGGTGCGTGACTGCGGCGGCCTGCTTGGCCGAGCTGCCGTTCTCTCCCCCGCACTTCGCCGAGGCCCTCGACGGTGAAGTCGTCGTCAGGTGTGCGGAGTCCAAGGGAGAGCGGTCCTTGAACGTATCGGCCTTATTGTTGCTGTCCACCATCTCCTCGTTCAGGTTGCCGCTCAAGGCGCAAAATCTGTCCGAGGCGTTCCTTAAACGCTTCTTCGAGCTTCAGAGAGTCCTCTTGGAGGGTATATCTCGGTGCGGCGAGCACAGCTTCGGGCTTCTGGCCAGCTGGCTGGCGGAGCAGCCGCGGGGCGCCCTGCTCGAGGCGGACCTGCGCTGCCTGGCGGCCTTTGTCATCGGGCAGTGCATCGCCCCGCCCCCTGCCACGGCCCCGTCGCTGGACCTCGATACAGTAGCGTCGGCCAGTCCAGCCAGAGTGCTAGAGGCAAGCCCGATGGCAGCAAACAGGAATGACCCTCCTGCTGTGGCGGAGTGCGGCCCACCACCGGCGCTGTTGTTGGACTTGCTCGCGCAGGATCCTGGGAAACAGAGGGGGGACGGACTGGGGAGAAGTCGACCAGGAATGACCCATTCATCGCAGATGCGGGCATGAGTGCCCCACCGTGCCCAGACATACTGTGTCTCGTTATGAGGGGGTTGTCGTCGACGCATCGGCGAAGTATAGTCGACTCTACAGGCTTACGCCACATCCGCCGACCCCTTCTGTGAGTGTTGCGAGGCCAGGAGTTTCTGGCCAGCGGCGTCTTGTGTGAGGGTGCGGTGTCGCGCGGGTGGTGGCAGATACGTAGGGGGTCCAAATGTTTGCGTGATGCCGGTGGTCTGGGGCGTGTTTTGCGAGCGCTTTGCGTGCTGTGCACCCGGGTGCGGGGTGTCCTTCAGGGAGGTCGGCCTTTCGACCCGCAACCAAGTGGAGGAGCACTGGAAGACGACAGGAGCAAGAATAGTGTGTGGAAGCTGTGATCAGCGAAGCATCACAGCGAAAGATGTGGCAGATGAATCGAAACGGGTGAAGAGGCTGTTGACGTTCGCAGCGCGCACGAAACAGTTCGCGCGGCAGCAGCACATTAGCGCCGAGCAAGATAGTGAGCACGTCGCGAGGAAGAATAAGGTTGTATGCGCGGAGTGCATTGCAGTTGGCGTGACGGCTCGCAATACGGAAGCGTCTGGGGGTCTTTTGGGGGCCTCCTGGGGGCCTCTTGTGGGCTCCTTGGGGCGTCTTGGCGGTATCTTGAGGGCCGTTGGCGGCCTGTTGGGGCGCTCTTGGGGCCCCCTGGGGCTCGTGGGGGCGGAAAGCTAGATGTTTGAATTGTTGGTTGCCCTCTTGGGCCCCTCTTGGTGCCGTCTTGGAGCCTTCTTGGGCCGTTTTGGGGACCTCTTGGGCCGTCTTGGGGCCATATTGGACCGTCGCGGGGCCGTCTTGGGGGCCTCTTGGGCCGTCTTGGGGCGGTTTTCGGGGCTTCTTGGGTCGTCTAGGAGCGTCGGAAAACCCAGAAGGCGGATGTGTGAACATTGTACGTTTCACGACGGGAATACGTACATGTCTGCGTCCAGGGACCGTCATGGGACGCATCTTGGGGGCCTCTCAGGGGCGTGTTGGGCCATCTGGAGGCCATTTCGGGTGTCTTCGATCGCTCTTGGACCGTGTGGGACCATGTTGAGCTCTCTTGGAAGCCAGTTGGAGCGCTCTTGGGGCCGTCATCGGGGCTCTCTTGGGCCGTCTTCGGCGCCGCTTGAGCCGTCTCAGCGCCTTGTTGGGCTGTCTTGGGGCCCTCTTGGAGGCTTCTTGGGCCGTCTTGGGGCGGTCTTGGGGGCCTCTTGGGCCGTCTGGGAGCGTCGGAAAGCCCGAAAGGCGAATGTGTGAAAACAACGCACGCTTTACGAAGGGAACGGGATAATTTTTGCGTCTAGAGGCCCTCTTGGGACGCATCTTGGATGCCTCTTGGGGCCTCTTGGGGGCATCTTGGGCCGTCAGGAGGCCATCTTCGGTGTCTTTGATCGCTCTTGGGCTGTCTGGGACCATATTGAGCTCTCTTGGAGGCCACTTGGGGCGCTTCTGGAGCGCTCTTGGGGCCCTTTTCGGGGGCCCTGTTGGGCCGTCTTGGACGCTTGTTGGGCCGTCTTGGGGCCCTCTTGGGCTATCTTGGGGCCCTCTTGGGGGTTTCTTGGGCCGTCTTGGGGCGGTCTTCGGGGCCTCTTGGGCCGTCTTGGAGCGTCGGAAAGCCCAGAAAGCGAATTTGTGAAAATTATACGCTTTACGAAGGGAATGGGCCACTTTTTGCGTCTAGGGACCCTCTTGGGACGCATCTTGGAGGCCTCTTGGGGCCTCGTGGGGACCTCTTGGGCCGTCTTGGAGGCCTCTAGGCTCGTCTTGGGGCCATCTTGGGCGTGTGGGAGCGCTCGTTTGGCGTCTCGGGGCCCTCGTGGGCCGTCTTGGAGGCCTCTTGGAGCCTTCTGGGCCCGTCTTGATCCCCTTTTGGGCCCAAAAGAGCCCCGTGACGCGCTCGTGCTGGGCCCGGGGGGGGGGGTCAAATCTCCGGTTTGGGGTCCCTGGGGGGGGATTATGGGGGGGGAACTATCTCACACGCCTAGAGACCCACAAGGGGTTGGCGGATTGGTGGTGTTGACGTTGTTGTTGTTGGTGTTGGTGTTGGTGTTGGTGTTGGTGTTGGTGTTGGTGCTGGCGCTTGTGGTGGTGTTGTTGGTGGTGTTGTCGTTGGTGATGTTGCTATTGTTGTTGGTGTTGTTGTTGAGATTGATGTTGTTGTCGCGTATGCTTGTTGTTGTTGTTGGTGTTGTTGTTGTTGTTGTTGTAATTGTTTTTGCTGGTTGTGTTGGTTGTGTTGGTTGTGTTGTTGTGTGTTGTGATTGGTGTTGCTGGTGTTTGGAGGCGGCTGCTGCTGCGGAGGAGGAGGAGCAGAAACATTAACAGTGAAGGAGAAAGCGCACAGAGGACGCGCGCGAGCATGCATGCCGCGCTGCGCCAGAGGCTCGGGTCAGGGTAAGGTCCTAGGGCCCGGGTCTCAGGGTTATGGTTAGGGTCTGAGGGCTCAGGTTTGAAGGTTTGGGTTCGGGCATTCGGATTGGGGATTTACGGTTTGGATTAGGGTACCATGGTGAGGGGGAACATGGTCTTGAGGTTAGGGTCCGAGGGTTGTGGTCTTAGGGTGACGGTTGGGGTCTTTGGGTTAGGGTTTTTGGGTTAGGATCTTACCGCTAGGGTCTGATAGTCAGGGTTCGAGTCTTCGGGTCAGGGTGCAAGTCTTAGGGTTTGGGTCTGAGGGTTGGGGTCCCAGGGTTGAGGTCTGAGCTTAGGGTTGGGGTCTTAGGGTTTGGGTATCAGGGCTAGCGTCAGGGGCAATATTATAGTCTGGAGGTTAGGGCTAGGGTCTTAAGGTCAGGGCTAGGATCTGAATGTCGGGGTCGTAGGGTTAGGGATCGGTTCGCAAGGTTCAGGTCTCAGAGTTTCCATTGTGGTCTGAGGGTTTGGGTTTGGGTCTGGGGGTTCAGGTCTCAAGGTCGGGGCCAGGGTCGTAGGGTCAGAATTCGGGTCCTGGGGGTAGGGGCAGGGCCTTCTTCGGGTTAGAGGATTGCGGCCAGTGTCTTACGGGCACAGGCAATTGGCGTTCGGGTCTTAGGCTTAGGGATCGTTTTTTTGCAATCCTTCGGGTTTGTTTGCAATCCTTCGGGTTGTTTTGCAATCCTTCGGGTTTTTGTTTGCAATCCTTCGGGTTTTTTTGCAATCCTTCGGGTTTTTTTGCAATCCTTCGGATCAGGGGCCTTAGGATCAGGGTTAGGGTCTTCGGGTTCGGGCCGCGGGGTTTGGGACCCATGATCGAGGTATCAGGGTTAGGATCTGCAGTCTTAGGGCTAGGGTATTCGGTTTAGGGTCTGGGGGGGTACGACTGGGGGCCCTATTGGTAGACTTAGTGTGTTAGAGTTCGGGGCTGGGTCTTAGGATCAGGGTATTCGTGTTCGTGGTGTAAGGTCCAGGTCTTACGGCTAGGGGAGTAGGGTTCGGGTCATCGGGTTGGGGCCTTGGGGTTCGGATTAGGGAGTAAGGTTCGCATCTTAGTATTCGGGTCTTAGGGTTAGGGGCGTCGGGCTCGGGTCTCGGATCCTAGGAACCGGGTCTTAGGGTGAGGGTATTTGTTTTAGGTTTCAGGTTTTAGGGTTGAGGTTCGAATATGTTGGTTCGGGTCAATGGTTAGGTATAGAGTATGAGTGTTAGGACCAGGAACTTAGAGTCATGGTCGTAGGGTTATGATTTTAAGGTAAGGGTCTTTGGATTAGGCAATAAGGGCAGGGCCCTTGGGTCAGGGTCTTAGGGTTAGGTTTCGGGTCTTCGTTTTCAGGTTCGGTTCTTAAGGTTCGGCGTAAGGTCCTTGGGTCAGGGCATGTGGGTTTGGATCTTCGTTTGAGGTTAGGGTTTTAGGGATTGGGTCCACTTCTTCGGGTGAGTGTCCTAAGGTTATGGTTTGGATCTTAGGGTCAGGGTTTTAGAGACCATGTTCGGGTCTCAGGGTAAAGGTCGATGGTCTCAGGGTTAGGGCTGGGGCCCTAGGGTTACGGACTTAGGGGTAGGGTCGTAGGATTCGGGTCTTTTGGTTAAGGTCTTCGGCTGAGGGTCAGAGCCGTGGGATTATGTCTTATGATTGGGGACTGAGAGTGATGGCCTCAGCCTAGGTTCGTCGGGTAAGGATTCGGGTCTTAGTGGTTGGGGTCGGGTCCCCGAGTTATGGTGTTAGGGTTACGGTTAGGGCCGCAAGGCGAGGGTTGAGGGCTTAGATCTAAGGCATCAGGATTCGGGTTTCAGGGTCAGGGTCAATATCTTTGGGTTCAGGTCGTGGGGTTAAGGTCCTAGGGCCGGATATTAGAATTGCAGAAGGTGCGGGCTGCGGTCGCTCGCGTGCAGTTTGGGCGGCGTCTTGCCCGATTGGGAAAAATACCAAGACCGCCCAGGCATACATCGGGTCTGCTTCGGGAGGAGGGGGAGGAGGAGGAGGACCCGCGACTCAAATGCCTCCGCCGAAGAACACGAGGGGGGAGCCACGACTGACCTGTGGAAAACACAGCTATCCCGAAGCCGCGTGGGCGTCACCGCTCGGGGGACTCCCAGTTCGCGGATGACACTTGGCCTCAAGGTCCCTTGGGGCCGTGAGGAAGAGGTGGGAGGAGGAGGAGGAGGAGGAGGAGGAAGAGGAGGAGGGTTAGCCCTGCTCCCTGTGCAAGTCCCCCCCATGTCCTCGCCCTCCTCCGCCCTCCGTGCGCGCCCAGCCGCGCCAGGCTCCGGCGACGGGCGCGTGGTGCGCGCGGCGTCGGCGCGGGGCATGCACGCCGCGGGCTCGGGGGGGGCGGCCTCGTGCGCGGGCGGGGCCTTTGCCCGGCCGCCTGGCTCAGCGGCGAGCGAAGGGGGGGAAGGCGAGAAGGAGAAGGCCGCCTTCTCAGAAGGCGACGGGGCTGCTCGGCAACCTTCCGGCCGTCTGAGAATAGTTGTGGTGTCTTCTGGGAAGGCTGAGAACATGTCTCAGAAGGCTGGGGGACATCCAAGCCTTCTGATAAAGCCTTCTCCTTCTCGCTTGGCCCCCCTCGCTCTCCGCCGAAGCCTGGCGACGAGGGCGAGCTGGTAGAGACGGGGGCCAATGCATCGGGAAGGAGGTAGACTAAAGAGTTGACTGAACCCAGAATTGATTTGTTCGT